GATTTTTAAATGTGATGTGAATGTGAATCGGGAATCTCCTTTCTTGTTTTTAGCCTAAAAACCAAGGATTAGGTTGAAACGAATGTAACCAAAGGCATTGAGGAAAAGAATGGTACCAACTCTTCCAGTTATATATGATAATTTTCATTAAGACTTATACTTTTTTTTGTAGGTATCTTTTTCCCATTACACAAATGTTGTAATTTTTGGGGTACCTCAAATGGTAAGTTTTAATATTTTTTGTTGTCTAATAATTTTAATACTAAGACAACCACTGTTAGACTGATTTTAAAAATGAATCAACTTAGAGAATGTCAAAGGTAGTTAGTACTAATATTTTGCTACATAGTTGGCATATTAGCAAGAATGCAAGAGCTGTTATGCTAGCTGTGCTGTAGGTATTCCCTGAGCTGAGTATGATCTGTTCTTAGCTTGGAGTTTGAAGAGGAGATGATCTCATTTTTGGAGCTGCTATCTCTGTGATACTGTCTAGAAACATGGACTACTTGACTGCCTGATTTTGACAAGGCTACAGTGTCTCTGAAGCAAATAATTGGAGGGCAGTTGTTGTACCCTTGCTGTATTGAGTGGTATCGGACTTGCTGAGTGGTTCATTTGGTGATCAAGACAGGAAATTTGCAGTCAGAAATTCTCCAGTGTACTGAGGGCAGGAGTGCAGATGAAGAAAGACACTCCAGTAAAGCAGAAATAAGTAGTCTGAGAAAATGTGAGCAAGCTTAGTAGGCATTTTGTGCTAACTTAAAGTTAGTAGACTGAAGCAGGGTAAATTAATAACCAGTAACTTGATATGAGTAAATGAGTTTAGGTTCTTAGATCTTTCTGGTTAGAAAACAAAAACAAAAAGCCCCACTGACTTAAATTTAGTAGACCCAAGCATACGAACTGCGTTAAGTAAGACTTAAGTTTGCTCTTTAAATTTCCCTTGGAAGTTGTGGGTGCTTAGCTTCCGAAGTGACTAAATTGATTTTCAAGAAACTAATGCATTTTTCTCTTTTATTGAGCACAGTAGATCTATTTATTTAATAATACTAATCTGGTTTGATGTTGTCACACTGTTCTCTTATTTCACATCCAAGGTTAGCTTATAGGGTTTGGATTTACTGATCTTCAGAGAAGGCTGCAGGACCTGTCCTTGCAAGCATCTGGGGGTGGTGGGTTTGAGTTGTTGAAGAGAATTTTGTTGTTATGGGCAGGATCACCAGGTGTGGATATTTGTAACTTCTATTGTGTTTTAACTGTATAAGTACTGTACAAAAGGTGTACATTTTTTTAGTGAACATTAAAAAGTCAAATTAAAAAGCATAACAATTGTTAAAAAATTTAGATTAAGACCTCTGACTTTAGTTCAAGGATACCATTTCTCTTGGCTGAACTGTTAACAAACTTTTCTAATTTGCACTAACATAGACATGACTAGTGTTCATAATTATTTATTAAAAATTAGACTAAGTCCATGTTTGTGAACTGTATCAATTTCCATAACAACTTAGTCCTTTCTTATCTAATACCGGAGGGGTTCTGTTCTGTGGTCTCTGAGATACTGAAATGGCCCTATTTTTCTAGTTTAATTAAGGTACAGTAGCAAAAATATTTAAAAGCATTTGCTGTATCGACTAAATCAGAGCACAGGATACTTAGATTGTGTATGTGTTCAGATGCAACTCTTGCATGTTAGATGTACGAATATCATATTCTTACAATAGTTCAATGTAAACTTATATTTAATGGTGGTGGTAGGGCACTTTATGAAAGGAACACTCTGCATGTATGTGATAGTGGAAGCTATGTCTAGCCGTTAGAAATATGTTTGTGGGTTTTTTCATTCAGTTATATTTTCCTGCTATGATATATATATTTTTAAGTTACACTGTTCTCATGACTTCAACTATATTTGTAAGTAATTGCTCATCTTTCATATTTAAGTTGTTCCTTTCATATCTAAGTTATATCTGTTTAATATATGTGATACTAAAGCAAGTAGATTTTAATGTGTATTAGGACCTTGATGCCATATTTACTCCTTGTGGAATAAAAGGAATAGATGCACACTGATCTACTTGAGCACAGTATCAGTCTTTTCTAAAGAATGAAAGTAGATAAAATCTACTGAGCTTAATTTTTCAGAACTTCTTGCTGTTTGGAGTTGGAAAGAAATTCCTTTGAAATTGAGATACATTAATATATATATATATTTTCACTTAATGTGTACCAAAATTTCCAAAGTATTTTTTGGAGATGGAGCATCTGACTTGGACAGGGTGTTACTCAGCCCTGGCAGGTAAATGATACTTCTGTTGTTTTTTCCATCTGCTTAACTCCTGTAAATGGAGGCAATCTAGGCCGAGTGGGTCCTCAGCCAAGCAGAGCTGCGCAGTAGCACATGCTGTTGGCCCACTACAGCTGCAGTGACTTATGTTAGCAGAGTGGAGCCAGCAAAGCTCAAATGGTGTTGCATGAACTTCTTTGTTTGCCAGGCACCAGTTTGCCTGGGTTTGAACAAAAGAAATCCTGAACATAAGAAATCCTGAGTCTTCTGAGATCTGCTGTGCCATAAACTGGATGTCACGAGAGACATTGGTCTTTTGAATATGACACGGTGGTTCAGGTGTATTGCAGTGTAATTAAAGTACTAATTCATGGGGCTAAAGTCTTTATAAAGAAAGAATCCAAGTATGGAAAATTGTGAATTGGAACTTGCAAAAGCTTTCCTTCTATTTAACTGAGGGATTATCTACAATTCTAGATGCATTTTTTAAAACTTAGAGTTAACAATTTCACAGTTCAGAGTAAAGCAACTGTTTTCAAACTTGAGATATTCTTTGTCAATGTAGTAGGCTAGAGTATATTATCATGAAAATTGCCCTAAAATTATTTTTAAAAATTCTTCAGACTTTGGACTTGTCTTGTACACTTGAATTAGAATCTAAAGAGAATTCTTCTGTGTTGTGCTGCTTCTGAAAGCCTTTGGTTTTTGCTCCACAGATGCCACAGTTGGAGAAGAAGCTGGAAGAAGAACTTCAGCATAATGCCAGAGTTATTGCCTGTCGTTTTCCTTTCCCTTGCTGGATCCCAGATCATACTACTGGAGAGGGAATAGACACTGTGTGGGCCTATGATTTGAAAACCTCAATGGGTGTGAAACAGAATGCTTAGAAATGACACCAAGGACAGAATTCTAGGCATCTTAATTTATTTTGTACTGAAATTCTGAGCTTTGAGTTTATCTCTTAGAAGATGAGATTGATGTAATTGGTGAATATGTTCTGTATATTCTGGAGTTATAAAGTAACACTGAAGTGTCTTATTGAAAAAAGAGAAAAGTAGAGCTGAATCATGTTGTTAGCAAAAACTCTCAGAATGTTTTATAGACATCGAGAACTTCAGTATTGAAGATGAGCTAATGAAGTCACTAGTAAGTGGAGCATATATGAGTTACCATGTTCTACTTGACTTACTGAAAAATACATATTCTTTCTGGTCCTACTTAGCATTCATTATTAGGGACTGAGTGATGGGCAAGTAGCTCCTTAAATGAGCAGTGGCTCCCAAACATCTTTACCAGTTATGCTAGATGAGTTTAATGCTGCGCTTATCTGGCCAAGAGCTATTTATATCAAATAATGAACTGAATGTGATGGTAGCACTGATGACTTACACTTCAGCTTCGAATATTTGCATTTTAAAGGTCTGTTTGACACAGCAAACAAAACTAGTCCTTTTTTAGCACAGGAGCTGTCCATTTATGTTAATGTATTTTTATTTAACTTGCAATGTGAAGACAAAGCTCCAAAAAATGAGCTCCTAAGAACTTTTACTGTTATGAGCCTTTACAAATGACTAAGATTTTTCTTAATGTCTCTGATTCAGAAAAGGGCTTCAGAAGTCACCTACAGGTCATGACTTGGGTCATTACTCTGAGAATGTCATTACTCTGGTTTGATCAAACCTTCAGTAAAGTATTTGTGAAAGTTGCTTGCTTGGTTGTGTCATGAAGGCCTCTGGTTCAGGAGCCATTTGGTCTGGCTGGCTTGCTTAAATCTGATTAGATTTAGTCTAAATGAGTCCAATTTACTGTGAGATTGTCAAAGAGGTCCTCAGTCAAGGTTTGCCCCTCCTTTCCCCATGCGCCAACTTTTCTAAGCTGTATGATCCGGTGAGATCTCATAAACTTAAGGCATCAGTGCGTGGCTTCTGTGGAAGGGATGCTAGTTCTTCCTATTGACCTCATGAAGTTTAGCAGAGGAAGACTTAACACTCTTGCTCCTGGGATAGCATAACCCCTACAGTAGTGTGGACTGGGCACCAACTAAGTGGAAAGCATCTCCCTGAAAAAAGACCTTGGTATCCTGATGGCACAACAGATGGAGTGGGAGCCAGCAGCAGCAATCAAGGCCAAAATTATATTGGGCCATATCAGCTAGTAAGGGTGGCAATTGTTCCCTTTCTTCAGCACTTCCAAATCTGTATTTGGAGAAGTGTGCAACTTTGGGCTCTGCACTGTCAAAGAGACCTTGGTGTTCTGGAGTGAGTCCAGTGAAGGACTGCCCAGGTGGCCAGGGAGCCCAGGGTGTTCAGGTAAAGGTGGAGAGAACTGAGTTTGAGCCGCAAGAGAAGGCTGGGAGGTGGGCAAGGGGTCTTAGCTGTTGTCTTCCTGCTGTTCCTGCTTGATGGGTGCTCTAAGACAGACTGTGGAGGTGCATGGAGATGAAACAGGAGGGGAAATACTGATTAGACACCAGGGACAGTGTTTTCATTTCAGTGCTTGATCTCTTCATTGGTTAGCAGCTGAAGTTCTCCCATCTTCATCCATTAGCAGTTAGAGTTGCTTAATAGCCTCCTGCAGCCTCAGTGAACATAATGCTGTTTGCTATGAAGTGGCCACATATTGGTCAGATCTTTGCATATATAATATTCATACTGCTAGGCTAAAACAAGTCAAGTAAAAGTGACCTGCTAGGCAACTGTTAGATTAGTACAATTAAAAATAGCCCAGACCAAGAGCAGTGCTGAAACTCTACCCTGTCGGGGCAAAACAAAACCTGTGAATTTTATAGTCATTGTAAAGTCATATTTGCTGTGCTACAGTATCTGACTAGAAAAGAAGTTAGGTATGTGCAATCTATGTTTAAACTTGCCCTCAGCTTTTCTGTTTTCAGTTGGGGCAGGCAAGAGTGTTTAAATATGCACTGAGTAATTGAAAAGTGAAAGCTTGCAAAGTAAACAAATAGTAGGAAAGGTGCAAACGTATTGGTTCAGGATGCTGTATCCTGTACTGTATTAAATTTCATTTAGTGGTAAGGCACGAGTGTAAACATGGAAGCTCTGTGTTGAACACTGGTAAGCAACCTTTCTGTGTGTGGTACTTTGACCAAATTTTTACTGCTTGTTTTCACTAAAATTGAAGAAATGAAGCAGGTATCTATTTTCCTCAGTGTTTGACTTTTTATTCTGTTAATGTTCGACAGATAGTTGAGGTTGTAAGGGACTTCTGGAGATGGAGTGGAACTTTCCTGCTCAAGCTGCGTCACTTAGCGCATGGTGCGAAGGACTGCGTCCAGGCGGGTTTTGAGTATCTCCAGAGGAGGAGACTCTGCAGCCTCTCTAGGCAGCCTGTTCCAGTGCTTTGTCACCCTCACTGTTAAAAGTTCTCTTGTATCCAGATGGAGCTTCTTGTGTTTATTTTATGACCTACTGTGGGCCACCACTATGAATAGTCTGGCCCCATCCTCTTGACACCCTCTCTTCAGGTTAGTGTACACTGATAAAACCCCCTGCCAGTCGTCTTCAGGCTAAATGGGCTCAGTTCTCTCATCCTTCCCTCATAGGAAGTGCTTCAGTCTGTTTTGAAACCCTGTGCTGGATTCCAGTAACTCCATCTCTTTTACTGGGTAGCTCAGAACTGGACCCAGCATTCCAGATGTGGCCTTGCCAGAGCTGAGCAGAGGGGTGGGATTCCCTCCTGTAGCGTGTTGGCAACACGCTTCCTAGTGCACCACAGGGTACCACCAGCCTTCTGGCTACAAGTGTGTATTGCTGGTGCATGGTCAAGTTGCCACCAGCACTTCCAGGACCTCTGTGGAGCTGATTGAAGAAGTTAACAGAACCGGACCCAGTACTGCATCCTGGGACACATCATGAGCTACCACCCTCCAACTGGGCATTGTGCCGCTGATCACAGCGCTGAGGTCTGCCATTCAGCCAGTATTCACAAAGTGGATGTGGCCCAAAAAAGAGATCAGAGTTCTTCAGGAATGAGACTGGAAAATCATTGATTTTTCTTTGAGACTTGTTACGTCTCCATGGGCTTTGTCATGAAGGATCATTTATATTAATGCAAAAATTGAGCTACTCTTTCTGTCATCTCCTGCATAAAGTAACAGTTTTATGGTTGCAAGAGAGCCACCCGATGTCTGTGGTGTTTAGTACACTGCACAATCACTGTAGCCACACGCTTGTCTCAGCCATGTTTGTTTAGATTTGTTTGTAAAACTTTGTACTTATTTTGTGGGCTTTAGGCATTTCCTTATTAGTGCTAAAGTTCCTGGTTTATTCTCTGGAGTCTGGTTATGTGCTGTGACTTAAGTATTGCTCCAAGGGACTAAGCCCCCTGTCTTTCAACTATTCTTTATTCCTGATTCATGAGTTGCAGCCAGAAATGAAGATAGTTTATTTTAAACTTGATTCACTATTTGCAGGTTGATTGGAAGAATATCATATGTGGAAAACGCTTCCAAAACCCAGGGTAAGAGAAAGTCCATTTTAGTGACAGATATCTGTCATGTAGCAGCAGATCTGAATTCTGCATACATTTCATTAGTAAGAAAAGACTTTAGCTTTGCTTTGCTTGTGTATGTTTACCTCGAAAAATTATCATCACTGCAGTCCTGTGCTGAGAACCAGAAAGGAAGCAAACAGAGGAGTCACTGTGCCTGTCTTTCATGGGGAGAGAAGAGGAAGAGAATCTTACTGTCTGAATATGGTAGTTGCAGCTATTTTTGACAGTTCCATACTTTCATCTTAGCTGTATTTCTGTATATACATCCATGCCAAGAATGGGCTTGAATTCAGAAGTGAATTCATGGTTGATAGCTTTACATTTGAATGAGAAATAATTTTTAGATAGTTGAGTCAGGCTTCTATAGTTTCATTTTCCGTGGTGGTTCACTAATACTGAAGAATTATTCAAGATGAAACATGAATTTTTCAAAGTGATGACTGGAAGGTACAGGCTAACGCTAGAATTAACAGTAATAAATACTGCTCTGACTTTAGATTTCTTTTACACTTTCAAAATTTGTGTTTCTAATTTTATAATGTAAATACATTGCCTTATAGTATAAATTTTATATTTTTAGAAGTAATTTATGGTTGCAGCCATAGAAGTTCCTGTTATTTTAAAAGTCAATTTTAAAGTGGCCTTTCTCTTAAGGTTTTAAGGCTGTTATAAATCACCCTTGACTGTCAAAACCGCATAATTTCAATTATTTTGTTGTATGTTAATCTGTCTGTTCATCTTTGTATACTTTACTGTGGATACTCTTAAATGAATAATTACCACGTTTTCCTCATTTCTTTCTAAGCTCTGCATTTGTTTTGTTTACCAATGATTCTCTGGTTTCCCTTTTCATACTTTTTTTACAGTTTGACTATATAACTTAATAAATTCACCTAAAGTTTTCATTTCATTTTCTGTAAACCGGTTTCTTTTTTTTTCCCAGCTAACCATGCAGGAAGACTATGTCATAGAAATGCTTTTTTTTCTGACATTTTAACATGCATTTAATTAGCTCACTTGATGTATTTAGCATTCTGTATGCTGAACATAGTATGACTTTTGTGTCCAGTAAATGAAATAAAAACACACCCAGCCACATGGCATGTAGATTGAAAAATAGCCTCCTTCAACAATTCTGACTCTTTAGTAAATTTAAGTACTTAATTTTGGATTATTGTATTTCATCACTTGACAAATGAATATAGGCTTTGTGTCCATTCAGGAGTTTTTTGGATTTTGGTTGTTTGTTCAGGTGGGCTTTCTGCTGAACTCTTTCTCAGTGTAAAGTGGGGGTTTTCTGTTAGAGGCCTTGGTTGAAATGCTAGGCTCGTGTTTGCTATGTAGTCCTTGAAAAAATTACCATAATACAATTCAGTGAACTGCTAACACTGGTTAA